AAGGAAATAGGGTCAGAATAGTGCCATAAGAAATAGGGTCAGGAATAGTGCCATATGAACTAGGGTCAGGAATAGTGCCATAAGGAACCAGGGTCAGAAGAAAGCTACAAGGAAATAGGGTCAGAATAGTGCCAAGGAAATAGGGTCAGAATAGTGCCATAAGGAAATAGGGTCAGGAATAGTGCCATAAGGAAATAGGGTCAGGAATAGTGCCATAAGGAAATAGGGTCAGAATAGTGCCATAAGGAAATAGGGTCAGGAATAGTGCCATAAGAAATAGGGTCAGGAATAGTGCCATAAGGAAATAGGGTCAGGAATAGTGCCATAAGGAAATAGGGTCAGGAATAAAAGCATAAGGAAATAGGTCAGGAAGAAAAGCTATAAGGAAATAGGGTCAGAATAGTGCCATATGAAATAGGGTCAGAATAGTGCTACAAGGAAATAGGGTCAGAATAGTGCCATAAGGAAATAGGGTCAGGAATAAAATTATAAGGAAATAGGTCAGGAATAGTACCATATAATGAAATAGGTCAGGAATAGTGCCTTAAGGAAATTAAATAGTAATGCTTACAATGAAATAGGGGTCAGAATATGCCATAAGGAAATTGGGGGTCAGTAATAGTGCCATAATGAAATAGGGCTGTGAATAGTGCCATATGAAATTGGGTCAGAATAGTGCCATAAGGAAATAGGGTCAGGGAATAGTGCCATATGAAATTGGGGTCAGTAATAGTGCCATAATGAAATAGGGTCAGGAATAGTGCTTTTATGAAATTGGGGTCAGTAATAGTGCCATAATGAAATAGGGTCAGGAATAGTGCCAAGGAAATTAAATATAATAAAGTGCCACATGAAATAGGGTCAGAATAGTGCCATAAGGAAATAGGGTCAGAATAGGCACCCCATAAGGAAATTGGGGGTCAGGAATAGTGCCATATGAAATTGGGGGTCAGGAATAGTGCCATAAGGAAATAGGGTCAGGAATAGTGCCATATGAAATAGGGTCAGGAATAGTGCCTTAAGGAAATAGGGCTGTGAATAGTGCCAAGGAAATAGGAATAGTGCCATAAGGAACAGGGTCAGGAATAGTGCCTAAGGAAATAGGGTCAGGAATAGTGCCATACAAATAGGGTCAGAATAGTGCCATAAGGAAATAGGGTCAGAATAGTGCCATAATGAAATAGGGTCAGGAATAGTGCCATAAGGAAATAGGGTCAGAATAGTGCCACAAGGAAATAGGGTCAGAATAAAAGCATAAGGAAATAGGGCTGTGGAATAGTGCCATATGGTAGGGTCAGAACAGGGTGCCATATGAACTAGGTCAGAATAGTGCCATAAGGAAATAGGTCAGAATAGTGCCATAAGGAAATAGGGTCAGAATAGTGCCATATGAAAGTAGGTCAGGAATAGTGCCATAAGGAAATAGGGTCAGAATAGTGCCATAATGAAATAGGGTCAGAATAGTGCCATAAGGAAATAGGGTCAGAATAGTGCCAGCAAGGAAATAGGTCAGGAATAGTGCCATATGAAATAGGGTCAGGAATAGTGCCATATGAAATAGGGTCAGGAAATAGTGCCATAAGGAACTAGGGTCAGGAATAGTGCCATAAGGAACCAGGGTCAGAATAGTGCCATAAGGAAATAGGGTCAGGAATAGTGCTACAAGGAAATAGGGTCAGAATAAAATATAAGGAAATAGGGTCAGGAATAGTGCCATAAGGAAATAGGGTCAGAAGAAAAGCCAAGGCGAAAGGGTCAGAACAAAATATAAGGAAACAGTTGAATAGTGCCATAAGGAAATAGGGTCAGAATAGTGCCATAAGGAAATAGGGTCAGAATAGTTACAAGGAAATAATAGGGTCAGAATAGTGCCATAAGGAAATTGGGGGTCAGGAATAGTGCCATAAGGAAATTGGGGGTCAGAATAGTGCCATAAGGAAATAGGGTCAGGAATAGTACCATATGAAATAGGGTCAGGAATAGTGCCACAAGGAAATAGGGTCAGGAATAGTGCCATAAGGAAATAGGGTCAGGAATAGTGCCATATGAACCAGGGTCAGAATAGTGCCATAAGGAAATTGGGGTCAGGAATAGTGCCACAAGGAAATAGGGTCAGGAATAGTGCCATAAGGAACTAGGGTCAGGAATAGTGCCATAAGGAAAAAAAAGGGTCAGGAATAGTGCCATAAGGAAATAGGGTCAGGAATAGTGCCATAAGGAAATTGGGGTCAGGAATAGTGCCCATATGAAATTGGGTCAGGAATAGTGCCAAGGGCGAAATAGAAAATAGAATAGTGCCATAAGGAAATAGGGTCAGGAATAGTGCCATAAGGAAATAGGGTCAGGAATAGTGCCATACAGAAATAGGGTCAGAATAGTGCCACAAGGAAATAGGGTCAGGAATAGTGCCATATGAAATTGGGGGTCAGGGAATAGTGCCATAAGGAAATAGGGTCAGAATAGGCATTTAAGGAACAGGGCTGGTGAATAGTTCCATAAGGAAATAGGGTCAGAATAGTGCCATAAGGAAATAGGGGTCAGAATAGCTACAAGGAAATAGGGTCAGAATAGTGCCATAAGGAACAGGGCCAGAATAGTGCCATATGAAATAGGGTCAGAAGAAAAGCTATAAGGAAACAGGGTCAGGAATAGTGCCATAAGGAAACAGGGTCAGGAATAGTGCCATAAGGAAATAGGGTCAGGAATAGTGCCATATGAAATTAAATAGTAATAGTGCCATAAGGAAATAGGGTCAGGAATAGTGCCATAAGGAAATAGGGTCAGAATCAGCCATATGAAATTGGGGTCAGTACAGTGCCATAATGAAAACAGGCCTGTGAATAGTGCCATAAGGAAATTGGGGTCAGGAATAGTGCCAGAAGAAGGAAGGTGATCAGGAATAGTGCCACAGGGAACAGGGCCATTCAGAATAGTGCCACGGAACATTGGATCAGCTAAGACAGTGCCAGTGGGAATAAGGCCACACAAAACAGTGGAGGTTAAGGATCGTTCACCAATCACGGCGCGGATATAGCGAAAGCGAATGAAACGAGAGCGGTGATTGGTGAACTGGGAGGAGGGGGAGGGGCATGTTTTTGTGGTCGGGGGGTCGTGATTGGCGAGACCCTATAGTTGACAGGTGGGTCTCTTGTCGCTGATTGGCTGGCGTCGCAAATCACCAACCAGGTCGATTAGCTTATTTCAATTTCCTGTATGGTTGTTAAGAGTTTCCCCTGTTTCCTGTTACATGATTGGCTGGCGATTTTCCCGCTACTTGATTGGCTGGCGAATTTCCCGCTACATGATTGGCTGGCGATTTTCCCGCTACATGATTGGCTGTCGAATTTCCCGCTACTTGATTGGCTGGCGAATTTCCCGCTACTTGATTGGCTGTCGAATTTCCCGCTACTTGATTGGCTGTCGAATTTCCCGCTACTTGATTGGCTGGCGATTTTCCCGCTACTTGATTGGCTGGCGTAAAATAAATTAACGATATATTGAAAAAAAAACGTACTAGTTAACTATAATCATTTCAATAACGCATACGATTAATTGGAGAAGATAATTATTTAGCATGATAGATTTAAAAAGGTTCTGAAATTAGATTAAATAAATATATATGACCTAAAAATATGAAATCGTACAGAAATAATAATAATGAATGGGAAAAAATAATGAGGCTAGCTTGCCACGTTGCAGGGGAATCATTTGAAACATTATATTGGTCATTGCAATTTATAGCATTGGCGGATTTAGTGATGTGAATATAGTGTGTTATTTTTGGTTTAAATCTGTCTCTCTCTCTCTCTCTCTCTCTCTCTCTCTCTCTCTCTCTCTCTCTCTCTCTCTCTCTCTCTCTCTCATGTGTCAATATTGAAAGCCTTTCAATTTAAAAACAACTTTTTATTAAAGAACAACAAAGCAAATTTAGATGTCAAAACTTTTAAAACTTTTAACATCTAAATAAATCCGAGAAAAAGTATATAATCTATTAAACACTTTGTGAATTTTGACAGTAGAAACTTTTGTTCGTGTACAAAACGTGAAGAGAAATTTAGAAATAAGTCCTTTTAATTTGTTACTTGAAAATAGATGCCTTGTTAACGTGTGTGTGTGTGTGTGTGTGTGTGTGTGTGTGTGTGTGTGTGTGTGTAAGAGTTTGTATGAGCTTGTATGTATGTGTGTTTATGTAAATGTATGTGAGCGTGTGTATTTTCTGTGTACATATTCACGTGTGTGTGTGTGTGTGTGTATGTGTGTGTGTGTACTTGTCTGTATATATTGACAGAACCTTAGGAATATTATCATATATAAATTGTCCTTCATCCCATCTAACACCACAAAGGCACCCCTCTGACGTAACACAGTGCCACCGGTGCCATATTAGTCACACGGTGTCAGAGGGGCATTAGGTGAGCGGCAGGACCATAACGAGGTTGTCTTGGCCCTCACAAGGACCCCAGTTGACGGTGAAGAAGGGGGGGGAGGGAGGGATGCTGATGCCTAATTAGGGGTCGACCTACAATGGCACTGAATTGGTTTGATGGTTGTTACGCTCTCTCTCTCTCTCTCTCTCTCTCTCTCTCTCTCTCTCTCTCTCTCTCTCTCTCTCACCTGACGGAAATCGTTCAACACACAATAATTAACAGGTCGTAGCGTAAGGGTAAGGGTGAACCTGATTATGAAGCACCACTCGGCCACTGACGTCTAATCACCCCAGGTCCTTAACCATGTTCTGTTTGTTCCCAGGTCACACCAGCACTTCCCTCGCTTGTCTTCGTGACCTGGGTGCCCCGCGTGTCCTACAGCAGGATAAGGTATTCCAGGATTTAGGATGTTGTGTTGGATTACGTTAGGATTTTTTTTTGAAGCCCGGAACGCATCACAGCACATCGTCTCGGGGATTTTATGTGAAACGTGAAAATTACATTATATATGCAAATTAGTATGGTATGGAAATTAGGGAATTAAGTGAAGCTAATCTAGAGTATTTCTCCCCTTTAAGGTCTTATGTCTAACTGTAGACATAGAGACATGTGTGAGTGAACTAACACTTGGTGCAGTGACCAGCTGGACACGTAATGTCTTAGTTTACGAGTGTTGGTGACAGACAACAATATGTAAGAGTGTTACCAGTGGTAGTAGAGGGTGCGGTGTGCTGATGGCATGTGTGCCCGGGCGGCGTGTGTCAGCCCAGCGTGACCTGGGCCCCCCTGGGTCCGGGCCACTACACTAAGCTTCCCGCTGGGTCATGGACAGCCTTAAGGGCGTCAAGTCTGCCCTGGGCGGGTCCGGGGCCGGGTTGGGGACGGGCGCGGGGGCGGGCTCCTACCTAGCCAGCATGGAGACCCTCTTGGGAGACTACATGGAGAGGCTGGGCACGCGCCTCAACGTGCTGGAGACAGAGCTGCGCTATGCCTGGCGTGCCCTCGACATGCTCTCACAGGAGTACGTCAAGATGTGGGAGCGCCTCGAGAAGCTGGAGATTCTGCTGTACGAGCAGCAGGCTGTCATCGCCCAGCTGCTGGAGTTCTACACAGCCTTTGACCTACAAGCTCTCCTCGCAGAGAAGGAAGAGCCAGCTTTACCCGCAGAAACTACAACTGTAGCCGCCGCTGCTGCCGCCGTCGCTGTGGTGGCAGGTCCGACGGATGATAACTCTGAGAACAGACTCCCAGACGAGGCCTTCTACAGGAGCCTCAACAACGCCCACCGCGACAACCTCTCGCAGGTGTCGGAGTCGACGGACCAAGAACTGGCGAGAATCTGGGACTTGGAGGAAACTGAGAAGGAATCAGATTCTTCTGAAGCAAGAAAAAAGGAGAAAGAGAGAGAGAAGGAGAATGAAAAAGACGAGGTGTACACGGCAGATGACTACAAGGACTACAGAGGCCAGAGCACCTGTATCAGTGAACACGACCTCCAGGAGCTGCGTAAGTTCACCACGCTGGACAAGGTCGCCCTGGGGAAGCTCAAGGAGCTTGACGCTCTCAGCGCCAAGCTCCTGAAAGACTCCCAGAACCTGCGGGACCTGCGCGAGAGGTTAATATCGTCCCCGAAGATGGGGTCGCCAACCTCGACCTCCCCCCGGCACGTGGCCAAGCCTGAAGGTGCCGCCGCTGCCGTCTCCGTGTCGCAGCCGGTGGACAACAAGATGGCGGAGTCTGTAGTGGATGTGAAGCTGCGTCAGATGTACCTGGACTCTAACTTAGAGGACTGGACGTTCAGCCCGAGAACGTCGGAGCCGCAGAGAAGTCGCCCTAACTCTCAGTTGTCTACTGACAGCAACGCCACGGACTCTGAGATCATGGCAGCACTTGGCCTGAAGAGCTCCACCTCCATCTTGGGTTCACCGCGACACCGCGAGCTTCTCGCCAAGGCTCCCTCGCCGCTCCCTGGGTCAGAGGCCAGCTCATCGGCCAGCAAGGAGACCCTCGTCGGGATGTCTGACTTCAGTGTGATGGGACGAAAGACACCGGATCCTCTCATCGGGGGAGACAGAGCTATGGGGTCCTCTTCACCCACCTTCTATACAGCATCCAGCGAGAAGCTCAGATCATCGCCGCCGTTTGGACCTTCAAGGACTCGCCAGGATGGGTACGTCATCTCCCCTCGGCCAGGGAGTCCCAAGGATGCGACACGGTCCAAGAAGACCTCCCTCACGCCCACCAACCTCGAGCCAGGATCCACCAGCAAACGACCTGCAACTCCATCCTTCGTGTTATCCAAGGAACTCGGCCACAGTCCTAGAGCCACTCCTCGTCTCATGAGTCCGAAGAGTCCTAAGAGTCCCAAGAGTCCCAAGTCACCAAAGAGTGCCAAGACTCCATCGCCCATCCGGTACTCTGAGCTGGGTAAGTACGACTCGGGTATCTCCACCCTCAGCAGCAGTATGAGTACCTCCTCGAGCATCGAAAAGAGTCCGACCAGCCCAAGGCCCGGCAGGAGAGCCTCCCCCTACAGAACGGACCGCACTGAGAGGCTGGAGGATCTGTATCTGCCGTCCGCTACCTCAGCAGCCATGTTAGCTTCTGTCACAACGACCTCAGCACCCATCACCTTTCCTTCAGCATCCTTGTCCGCCTCCTTGAACGACCAGTTCAAGTTCAGCGCCATGGGGGAAAGTCTGACCAGAGAGTCCAAGATGTTTAGCTCTGCACCCATTCTTGAAGAGTCACCCCAGCCCACCACAACGACTTCTTTTTTACACATATCAACCTCGAAACCTGACATACTTAACACGGTACTAAACGCTGAGAAGGCAGACCCACGCATATCATTCATGTCCCCTTCCCTGCCCCCAGCGACCTCGGTTTCAGCTGTGACCTCAAGTATTTCTTCAGGCTACCTCACCCTTAGTCCCAGAAGGACGAGTGCCAAAGGACGAACTGGTAGTAACGCAACCTTCGAGGAGGCGTCTTTTAGTACGTACAGTATCTACGCCCTTACCGCCGACCCCATCACCAGGGTCAGCGGCAACAAAGCTGAGGAGATTTTTCTCGAGGATATGCTTATGGGTTCTTCTGCGCCACCTCCTCCTCCAGCACCAACTTCGAGTACTTATTCTCATTACTATACCGGATCGAGGTCGAGCGTGGCCTCCTCCTCCCTCCTGACCAACACCTCGCTGGCTGACACTTACCCCTCCAACCTCTCGGTGTCGCCCAGCATGGACAGAGCCTATCAGGGGAAGCAGCAACAGCAGTACCAAACATCGCCCTACATCAACGAACCTAAATACTCGGCTCCTGCTTACCTGAACGCCGCCGGAGAACTTAAATTCGTGGGTCAACACTCGCGAAGATTTGACCATCTATCGGACATGGAGCCGGGACGCTCAGAAAATCGGCACAGCTTCGGCGCCGACAGTTCCGACTCGATCTCGTCGTATTCGTCCAGCTCGAGCTTCTACCCGTCGTCTGGCCCGGGAGGTAAGGACGGCATGAAGTATAAGTACCAGCCGAACTACAGCCAGCCTCCCCCCTACGGCGCACCACCTACCTCATCCTCACACATCGTCAGTAGATACGTCCCCTTGGAGGACAACTTGAAGGGGGAGACAATATCCCGATACAAACAGGCTTATGGGTATGACCCGACACAGCCCATGATGAGAGAGCATCCCTACGAGTCTCCCGACGCCTACATGAATACATATCCCCCAAAAGACAGGTATCGACCAGTCACCAACGTGGTGGAGTCTCCGTTGCTCAAGAGTGAGGATCTGTCAGGATCATTGAGGAATATGGAGAACATCCTGTCGACGGCGGCTCACGAGCCTCCCCCTCCACAGGGACCATCTCCGACCCCTCGCTCCAGGAGTCGCTACGACCGCTACCACAACACCCGCAGACACACTCAGGCGGTGCCCACCACGCACACCGAGCTGATGCGTCAGATGCAGTGGGCAGACGGGAAGACGGACAGACAGGTCAATCTGGAACTTAACCTCAAGAGGTACAGTCCCCAGAACGCGCAGGAACACCGTCAGCTGGTGCAGGAGGCCCACCCGGCCCAGACCTACTATGATAACAGCAACGTGCTGGTGTCCCAGGCGGGGTACATCACCATCACGCAGGACACCGTGCCCATCAAGACTAAGGGGCAGCACGAGGAGAAGAAGAAGCTGAGGCGCGGCGCCAGCATGAAGTCTGCCCTCAACAGCATGACCAAGATGATCCCCAGCATCGACATCATGGGCAAGAGGTCCAGGTCTCACAGCCTGCCCTCGCGACCCATACATGAAGACGAGCCCAAACATAAAGACTACCAGACGGCGACACTTGGGAGACGGAAAGAGAAGAAGCGCAGCTCTCTCATGTCCACTATGTCAGGGTTCCTGCAGAAGACCAAGCGGCGCGGCAGCAGCCTATCACTCAGGTCACTGTCTGACTCAGAACAATCAGACATGGACATTGGTCGACCTATACCTCGCCGCACCATCTGGGACGACGACAGCGATAACAGCAGCTTGATGTCTGACAGCACGACCGCTGCTGATAACCTTTTCCCAACGATGAAACAAACAAAGAAGTACAGTTCTGCCTCCAGCAGCAAGGAAAACATCTCGGCTCTGGCAACAACAGCCGAGTCCCCGCCTAAGACAGAAGAGCCAGTGTCAGACACGACTGAGGAGGGTCTCCTGCAGGACGTGGAGAACCTCTTCCCCACAGTGGGCGAGCTGAAGCGTTCCGACAGTCGAGAGAAAGATGTGGAATCGAAGCAAACCGCCGGGTCCTCCCGCGTGGGAGGGCGGCGAGAGTTCGCGGTTTCTCGCGCCTTGGGCAAGTACCGCCAGCGTCACTCATCTTCCGCCCAATCTGACGACCAGAGCGGATCAGAGGAGGCAACTCGCGCCAGTAGTAGCGGTTCTGACAGTGGCTCTCGTCCACCCAGCAACCACCAGATACTGAGTCCTCTGCCCCCCGGGGAGCTACCACCACAAACACTATCTGACCGACCTCCGGTGGGCCCGGGAGCCCCACCCTCCGAGCTGCCTGGATCAGAGATGCTTCCCCAGAAGGACAACGCTGCTGCCAGTGAGCTACAACAGGTCAACAACAATATAACTGACCTGTCTCGCGATACAGCAGCCGAGGACCAGAACGCTGCCAGCCAGTTCGGTTATCAGTACTTTAAAGATGTCAACATTCCTCCGAATGTAAATTTTCCCATGAGCGGCCAGGAGACCCTTCCCGTTGGTGGTACTTGTCCCCCAGCACCGACTTATAATGCTCCCCAACTCCCTCGTGATGCCCAACCCTTTCCTGGCCATGCTCAACAACCCTTCCCCCAATATCCACAAGAGTCTACCCTTCACCCTATTTCTAACACTGCCTCTCTTACTTACTATGATCCGAACTTCCCCTCTAACACCGGTTTTATTCAGCCAAAAAACGGGGAAGCGCCCGCCCCTAACAGCAGGACTGCGGCAGCGGAGGCTTCCCCGGGGCTAGGCGTGACGCCAGCCGCCGCCGCCGCTGCCCTTCTACAACAACCTGTCGTCAACAAAAACATTGATATTAGCGTGTCTGGGGAGGCGGGCGATAGTGACACGTCCGTAAGCGAGTCTCTGGGGGCGGAAGGAACTCCCTCCCGCGGTAGAGACCACAGCAGACGCTCGCCACCTGACGCTGCCAAGGACTACAGGCTGGCTCCTCCCAGCCAGAGGACACACTCTGAAGAAGATGACAATCGCTCCGTGCGAAGCTTCCGCATGTCGCGAGGATCCTCCAGGCGCCAGAGCACTGAGGACTCCATCGACTCTGACGACGAGTGGTACCGCTACGAGCTGCGTAAGTTGGAGCTGATGGAGGCGGACCAGTGGCGGGAACCAGAGCTGGAGGAGTGCTACCCCATGCAGCCGGACGACCGAGTACGTGGCTACATGAACGTGGTTCTGTGCGAGCTGCAGGGACGTGTTAAGACAGCGGACTCACATGTGCCAGGTAGTGACAGGTCTCCCTCCGTGCTCCCGGCTGGACCTCAACAACTACCTTCCAAGGCCGTGTCTCCAAGCCTCCCTGGAGCGGTGTCTCCCATACTAGCCACCCACCAGGCGCCCCAAGACGTGTACGAGGACGCCATGTCCAGCGTTCTCTCTAATGAATCTGCGTTCTTCTCCGCTGCAGGAGACAGCCGCCAGAGTTCTCTCCGTTACTCTGAGTCTCAGGACACTCAGGTCTCCCAGGAGAGCGCCGTGTTCTCCATGTACAGCAGTGACGGGCGGCGAGACACCCGGGGCGTCCTGGAGGAGCCCGCCCCCGCCAAGACCCGCCCCACACAGTCCATCATGCGTGCCCGTATTGACTCTGACGACGATGGTTCCTCAGGAGAGACTTCAGGTCCTGACTCACCTGAAGAAGACTTAGAAGAGGAAGATGATGATGTTCCACCACCTGTCATCATGGAGGTCGTTCCTAAAGCAGCGCCTCCTGAAGAACCTCCCGCGGTTCAGAAGGGCAGGCGGACGCTGCCGGTGCCTCCCATGGAACCTACAAGACCTCCATCAGCCGAGTTGGCCGAGCCAGTAGTAGCGCCACCTGAACCCGTCTTACCGAAGCCTAGGGAAGACACCCGCCATATTACAGACGACCTCGCCTTCGAATCGGACCTGGTGACTCATTTGAACAGGATAACAGATACATCCTTAGAGCCCGTTGAGGTAGCGTCCCCTACCCCGCCCCCGCCCCGACCCCCGACAGACCAAACTACCCCAGGTACCGAGGTCACGGCCCCAAGCGACGCTATTTCGGTGCATGAAGACAAATCACTCGCTGAAAAAGACTCAGAACTCAGCGACACTAAACCTCAGATCACTGTCGAGGGCGAGGAAGCCAAGGAGGAGGACCTAGAAAGCGCTGAAGGTGCCTCGGCTAAGCCCAAACCCTCCCTGAGAGGTCCTGGCAGTAAGTGGAAGCTGGTAAAGGCCCTCAAGGAGAAAAAGGAAGAGCAGAAACAGGAGAAAGAAGAAGAGACCTCGGTAAGTGTGTCCGTGTGTGTGTATGTATGAATATGTATGTATGTATGTGTGTGTGTAGTGTTGGATAGTAGGATAGTCTAGCTTAGTGTACCATCGCTCGTACCATAAAGGAGCGCCAGTTAGGGGCAGCATAAAGACCTTTTTTTCTTTTTTCTTTTTTAACTCATGTGATATAAGGAGACAACCGCCAGACGATCATGATCACTGGTGCTGGCGCTGTGTTTGTGGTGTGGGTGTATGAGTAATTACGTTTAAGTATACTGTAGATCTTACTGACTCAACCCCTCCCCCCCCCCCTTCTCCAGTCAACACCTTCAGTAAACGTTCACCAGGGAGAACAACCTGAAGATGATCTGGTAAGTGTTAGCCTTTTTATTGTCATTTTAATTCTCGGTGTTAAGAAAATATTTCATCTCTATGTGATCTGACTTATGGATGTTGCTCTTATCTGAGGATGTTTTTTTTATATTGTTTTAAAGTCGTGTTTGTTGTTGTTAGGTGTAGTGTGTGTGTTTGTTTGTTTGTGTTTGTTATATGTACTACTACTACTACTACTACTACTACTACTACTACTACTACTACTACTACTACTACTACTACAACAACAACAACAACACTGAACTACCACTGTCACCACCATCATCACAATTTTTTTTTTTTTTTTTTTTTTTTTACAGCCTCAGCCTCCCCAATAACCATACCTTCGCCTTTTTGTAAAATTAAATATCCTAATACATAAGTAGATTATCCTGGCTGTGTTGAGTTAGTTGAGCACGCAGATCTATGCGGCATTCAGTGACTGTAGCCTCATAGTCAATATCTGCAACTGTTGTCGGCATTTGGGCCGGTGTTCTCGTTCCCTGAGGCAGAGAAGTTGACCGAAGGAGAGGAAGGACAGTCGACATCTCATCCAGGCTGTAACATAACTTCTGGGCTGCTGCTTCTGTTCGGAGATCACCTCCGTGAGTCTGGCGTGAAACATCTTGCACTTGGTCCCCATCCTCCAGAGGTTGTGAGCACTGACGAGTGAAGCTGCCTTGATCAACTTCTGAATTCTCCCGTATGCCTTATCTTGTCGTTCTCGTTCCTCCTATGTGCAGCATCGTAAGCTAAGTTACGGTGACATGCGGCCATGGGATCAAAAATCCTAATGTCGAAGAAGCTCGCTGTCCCCGTCCAGAATCCTCGAGCACTGACGTCAACACGGGCTTCGTTAGATGTGTTGAAGTCCTATGTTGGAAAATCTCACCGTCCAATGGAAGGAGGGTCGGTTCTACCATGACATCCCGGCAGATTTCCTTCAACATATTTGCTGTGAGGTCCTTACTTCGTCATGCCTCTTGCATATGAAGCCCCCTTTCTTGCACACCATGGCGTGATCGATGTCATAGGAAGAGCCACACACACTTGGGAGGGCAAACCTTCTGCAAGCCAACCGTACCTTAGAGCAATGGCATCTGTAAATTCTTGTTTATTGAGACTGAAACCATTTGCCCTTATCGGTAACGTAGTTAACCAGTTCGAGGCGCCCTCCTGCGCTATAGCTACTTTTTTTCTTCAAATTCTCTGGTACTTGCAGCAACAGTTGCTGCAACTTATCACTGGCCGTGCTGTCGATCTGTCATAATGGACCTTCGAATCTTGTTTACTTCACCGGTATCCACCTCCCTGTTGCATTCTGAGCTATTATATGGTCCGTGAGGGCTGCCGTGAGCTTAACTGAGTTTTGATGTTCGGTGGCAGCAATCTCCTCTGGATTGGTTGGTCCCATTCCTCCCAGTCTCGGTGGTAGTGCAAGGTGATCTTTCTGCTGGGGTTAAGTCAGGGTGTTTCACTAATTTGGGAATGAACTTGACACTGATAACTTCTTCCAGAGGGTGGAGGCGTCCAATATCAGGGATAGTGCATCAGGTAGTTCCAGCGATGCTTGACTCCATGGGTGAATGCAGCAAAAGTTGCATGTGGCTCTGTGTTAGCAATCTCAGACAGAGCTTGGATTTCCTAACCCACTCATTCACCTTTCCTGCGTACTCGGTCTTGAAGTCCGTCGTGCCGATTACTGCACCTATGTGTCTTTGGCCATCCTTTGTTATTTTGACCTCACTTCCCGAAGCACCTCCATTGCCCGTTCATAATGTTCTGGCTTCACAATAAGGAAGGACTTGCTGGCGTTTGGGTGGTACACTACGTCATTCTCACGTTACTAAAGAAACCGGATTTACCCCTTGAGTATAATGCAGCTCCATTGATCAAGGAAGGTGTGTTTGTGTGGTGTGTGTGTGTGTGTGTGTGTGTGTGTGTGTGTGTGTGTGTGTGTGTGTGTGTGTGTGTGTGTGTGTGTGTGTGTGTGTGTGTGTGTGTGTGTGTGTGTGTGTGTGTGTGTGTGTGTGTGTGTGTGTGTGCATATTTACATACATATATAAAATCTTAGATATTTGCTCATATAAGAATGGACACACACACACACACACACACACACACACACACACCATCAGTAGCTCGTCATACACACAAGATCCAATCAAGGAGGAGAGGAGGAAAGGAAGGAAGAAGTAGAAGGAGGAAGGAGGAAGGAAGGAAGGAGGAAGAAGAGAGGTGGTTTGGGTCGATGCTTGTCACCACCACCAACACCTCCCTCTCAGTGGTAGAACCTCCTCCTCCTCCTCCTCCTCCTCCTCCTCCTCCTGTTCCCCCTCCTTCTCCTGTTCCTCCTCCTCCTGTTCCTCCTCCTTCTCCTGTTCCTCCTTCTCCTGTTCCTCCTCCTTCTCCTGTTCCTCCTCCTCGTTCCTCCTCCTTCTCCTGTTCCTCCTTCTCCTGTTCCTCCTTCTCCTGTTGTTCTTCCTCCTCCTTCTCCTTTTCCTCCTCCTCCTCCTCCTGTTCCTCCTCTCCTCCTGTCCTCTTTCCCTTTCCTCCTCCTCCTCCTGTTCCTCCCCTGTTCCTCCTCCTCTCTGTTCCTCCTCCTCTTCCTCCTCCTCCTCCTCCTCCTCCCTCCTCCTCCTCCTGTTCCTCCTTCTCCTGTTCCTCCTCCTCTCCTGTTCCTCCTCCTTCTCCTGTTCCTCCTCCTCCTTCTCCTGTTCCTCCTCCTCCCTTCTCCTGTTCCTCCTCCTCCTCCTCTGTTCTCCTCCTCCTCCTCCTCCTCCTGTTCCTCCCTCCTTCTCTTGTTCTCCCTTCTCCTTTTCCTCCTCCTTCTCCTGTTTCTCCTCCTCCTTCTCCTGTTCCTCCTCCTCTCCTTCTCCTGTTCCTCCTCTTCCTCCTCCTGTTCCTCCTCCTCCTGTTTCTTCTCCTGTTCCTCCTCTTCCTCCCTGTTCCTCCTCTCCTCCTGTTCCTCCTTCTCCTGTTCCTCCTTCTCCTGTTCCTCCTCCTCCTCCTCCTCCTCCTTATCCTGTTCCTCCTTCTCCTGTTCCTCCTCCTCCTCCTTCTCTGTTCCTCCTCCTCCTCCTTTAATTATCACCTATTTTCTTTGTTATTTTTCTTACTATAATTTTTACTATTATTATTATATATTATTATTATTATTATTATTATTTTATTATTACTACCATAACAATCACACAACTCATAAACTTAAACACACACACACACACACACACACACACACACACACACACACACACTGAGTAGCGAGTCTTAGTGGCATAAAGTCTTTGAAGTCCTAAGGCTTTTGGATCAAGTTAGCCTAATAGTAGATGTGTTTAAGGCTGAAAACTTGATGGTGGTTTAGGTAGGGGGTGGGGGGGGAAGGTGTGGGTGTGTGGGTGTGTGGGGTGAGTGTGAGTGGGGGGTGTGTGTGGGGGTTGTGTGGGGGTGAGTGTGTGTGTGGGGCTGTGTGTGGGGCTGTGTGTGGGGGTTGAGTGTGAGTGGGGGTGTGTGGGGGTTGAGTGTGAGGGGGTGTGTGTGGGGTGTGGGGGGCTGTTTAATGCAGAAAGGAGTTGAGAAGTTAGGTAGCTATGAATGGCGTGTAATTTGATGCAGGTTTGAATGGCTTAATTGTTGTGGTAGTTAGGTTAGTGTGTGTGTGTGTGTGTGTGTGTGTGTGTGTGTGTGTGTGTGTGTGTGTGTGTGTGTGTGTGTGTGTGTTTGCCTTGTACACACGCACACAAATGAGGCAGTACAAAGGGGTGATGTGTGTGTGTGTGTGTGTGCACATAACACGTTAACCTGTGGATGATCGATAAATTTGTGTGTTTACAGACATGTGAACGTGTACATACTCATAGGTGTGTGTGTGTGTGTGTAAGTAAAAATCTTATGTATGTATGTATGTATGTATGTATAAAGTATATGAATATACATATGTGTAAGCACCAGTATCGCTCACGTAAGTATATATGTATAGATAACATGCACTTCATTATGTATACGTAACATATACATGGGTGTATGTGCACAGGTAAGACATAAAGGTGTGTGTACAGGTAAATATACATGTGTGCGTGCGTATGGGCGTATACAACGATACATATTGACGCTTGTACAGGTAGGAGATACAGTGGTGTGTGTACGTGCGCGCGTGTGTGTGTGTACGTGTGCTCGTGTGTGTGTGTGTGTGCGTGTGTGTACGTGCGCGCGTGTATGTATGAGTAGCGTGGTAGTAGAGGTAGTGAGCGTATGTACTACTCTTAGTGTGGGAGGAGGGAGGGACAAATGCTATTGTATTGATCTGTCTGGCTAGCTGGTCCACCTGAGGTACCCAGCAGCCCTCACCAACCCCTACCCATCCCTCACCACATCCCTACACATCCCTCACCACCACCCTACACACATCCCTCACCCCTTAAAACTACCCCCTACCTCAGATACCTCCCCCAAAAAAAAACCCACCTCCAAACTCCAGTGAGAGAATGAGAAGGGGAATTGGTAGCATCGCGCAGGTGTACTCAGGTGGACTTGCTCGCTCTAATTCCAGGTGAGGTTAGCGCTTGAGCGGCCATGTAGGAGCGATTGTTATCCCTTAAGTGGGTTTTTAAGGTGTGTGTGTGTGTGTGTGTGTGTGTGTGTGTGTGTGTTTCTAATCACTCACCTGTACGACCCTCCAATCACCTAGATGCCACCTTAATTACACCTGAGCTCCCCTCTCCTCCTCCACAACTTACCTTCGGTCCTCCAAGCTCACCTGTTTCATACCTGGTGTGAGGTGACCGATTTTAGGATGGACCGATTTTAAGCCTAGACCCGATTTTTGGCCAGATTTTCCGATTTTAGACCGAATTCACCCTACGGTTATGGATTCCAGACCGATTTGAGACCAGATTTTCCAATTTTAGACCGAATTACCCCTACGGTTATGGATTCCAGACCGATTTGAGACCAGATTTACCAGTTATACCCCTATACTTCTACCAATTTTTAAGCTCAT